CTGGGCACAGAGAATTCGGTGCCTATCTGAACACTTAGTGATCTCGAAAATCTGCTCGAGACCCTGGATCCACTCGTCTACTAGGCGAGGATCTCTTTATCCCATAACTTCTCGGGATTATAGTCGCGAAATTGGGCGACTACAACTGACTGGGTCATCTCCTGCTGAGCTTGCTCTCTACGGCGTGCCATCTAGATAATTAACCGTATACTTGATCAGAATAAGAGTTGAAATTCAGTATAGCTGAGAGAAACGCTAAATTCTAGATAAGTCACAGATTTCTTTATGAGTCACTAACTCGTAATGCTAGAGTTCGACTAGAGATCGAACTAGAGTTCTGACTTTTAATTCGAGTTCTGACTTTGACTAGAGTTCTCGGACTTAGTTCTTTCTAGAGTTCTCTCTCTAGAGTTATCTGTCTTACAGGAGAATAGTTATCTAGGCCCCATACTTGAATTTGAATAAGCACTTGCAAAAATGAAGACTGGTTTAGGTGACTTACCTCGGAGGCAGCGCGAGCGTGAGCGTGGTGTGGTAACTTGACTGACTTTTGGTCTACAGAAACGCTAACTGCGCTCTAATACCAAGTTGTAACACCCCGCCTACTATAACTTTGACTCACAAAAAATTGGGTAAAATTTTCGCGGTTGTTTTCGAAATATACTTATACTGTTTTCGAAAAACGTTTAAACTTTATTGACTTGCGAGATGCTACTTACTGACTTGACTTACTTCTCTTCTTGTTACTTATGCACGTACCCAAATCAACATATAAAAATCTGACTGGGGAAAATACGGATGAGGGACAATTAAACGTGCATACATATTAGGTCCGGGTTGGCAGCACAGAAGCGTAAAATAAAGAACAGTACAGTCTGAAATTATTTATACATGTCAACATAACATAAACATAAACAAATGTCCAGCTGATTCGGACACCACCACACCACCATGCTCGGCTCACGCTCCGGGTTGCACTCCATCACCTAAAAAGATAATAGTGGGGCGTGAGTACTCATCCACTGTACTCCGCAAGAACCAGCACTGAATAAACAGCACATATAATCGAATATCATAAGCTCAGCATATACATAAATAAAACTATACTGTACTGGTGCAGGTTACCGGTAACTAGTCGGTTCTCAAGTGATCACGTTCTGGGGGTCGCCTTCCCAGAAACCCAGGATGACTCTACTGGGAGTCAAAATTGTACTGGGCGAGTGACTCTACTGGGAGTCAACATAAACTGGACCACGAACGATTAAACTGGACCATTCGGGTAAAATTTATTTACATACATACCTCATAAATGGTACAAGATGATAGGCAATATAATACCCAGTGCAGGGCCCCCACCTGTTATACTGAACAAGGACTGAACAAGTGCTGGAATAATCTAGGGTAGCTGTCGGAGGCTCGACTCTCCTCAAGCTACCAAACATATACAAGCAAAATAATCTAAGTATTTTGCTTGACTGCTAAACTTAATTTGAAATGATCATTTTATATTATAACAGATAAGCAGGCAGGCAGATAAGGCAGATTACAGATAAATAATTACAAGCATACATAACAAAACAAATAAGATCATGTAAACAAGTAAACTGGACTTGCTATTTTGCTCGACTGGACTGATCTAGCGTTTCCGGATAAAATTTGACTGAATCTTGGAAACTGAATTTATCGGTCTATCTTAATCTGGTTTGAACCAGCCGGTCTAACTCAGTCGAATCGGGTCCGCTTACCGAACCGGCTCGGGTTCGACTGGTGACCTAGGCTCGGTCCGGGCAGCACGCGCGCGTAAGCTGACCTTGCGGCACTGGCTGCTTGCTGGTCAGGGCAGGGAGGTGACCCTCTCCGGCCACTTAACTTATACTAAGTCATGTCTACTCATGTAGTTCAATCAAATCAAGATTTATCACATAAAGTCGATTTAGATCAAATTTAATCGACCTACTAACTTCATGAATTTTAAAAATTCATACGAGTCTCCAAAAATCATCACATTTGGTAGTTAATTAGTAGACATAGACATGTACATGCTGTACAAATTCCATCTCCTTTGAGCATAAATAGCATGGCTAACTAGCATTTCAATCTTAGCACATAAAATGCACTTTGCACCCATGCATTGAAATAATTTTATAAAATCGTACTCTTGTCCTCTGAAGCTTAAACTTGGTGACATTACTCACAACTCATACAAGAAATGTCCCTTAAAATTTTACATAAATCCCGCAAGTATTGGGGGTGTTCTAAAGTATCAAAGATCAACTCGACATGCATTCGGTCTAATACTTATAACTCACTCATCTCTTATGCTAAAATCATGAAATTTAGTATTCAGGCTCTTAACTCATATACAAACATGTCCATAAAATTTCATAATTTTATCCTGAGTATAACTTGAGTTATTCATGTTTGAAGTCAAAACAAAATTCGCGTATGTAAAGTTCAACTTGCATGTCTAACTTTAAAAATCAATAACTCGAGTTATACTAAGACAATTGACTTTATTCTTGATCCCATGAACTCCTTTTTTCCACAAACAATAGCCATAAGATTTTTACCTTCTCAGAATTGTTATAGCATAGCCAAAAACGCATGAAACATAACATATAGAACAGGCAAGAAAATATGGGAGGATTAAACATTAAGCATGCTTGAAACTACTTAAAGCCTGAATCTATATAGCTCAATTATATATCAATAAACTCCTTATTTCATCTATTTTATGATTCTGAAAATATTTGAGCATACCAAGCTTTTAATCTTCAATAAAAACGTGAGAGAACTTGAATATGTTGCCACCAGCTTTCCTCTCCTAGTCTTCGACTTTATGCTTGCTTATCTTTGAATTTTCTTGAACTTAAAGCCTTAAAACTCTTCTATGGTGAGTGTAGAATGAGTTAAGAAGGATATTATGCTGAGGGCATGAAGTTTTTACGCTTAGAGCTCGAAAATGAGCACAACTATGCACATGGGATTTTCATGGATTACTCTCTACATTATGGTTTTTCTTAAGTGTTTGCATGACTTTTCTCTCTAATATGCTAAGTAAATGTTGATGAAACAAATGAGTACTTAAGAAGCTGAAAATGAGGTCTTATATCTGCCAAAGGGGCGTGAGAAATTAAGCAAAAGGAGAGGGAACACTAGTAGAGACAAGAACATGTGCAAACTAACTTCTAGGTGCATGGGAGGACTTTGCACATGATGTAGAGCACTAAGGCTGGTTAGTGCCGAATTAGTGGACTGCAAAGGGGCTGGAGATGTCTGGTTTTGCAAGTGAGGGAACATGCTCTTACACATGAGACTAAAAAAAACGTCCCACTCATGTATGCTTAGACATATAATAAGGCTAATGGTGGATTTAATTAAGAAATGCTTCTTAGTGCTCAAAATGGTTTAAAGTATGACTAATAACTCTTATAAACACACGTATGGATTGATGAATGATGAATGAGTGGACTAAGGTCTTGGTTCAAGACTCATAGGCTTGTGACGCTCGGGCTCAAGTGACTAGCGCTGATGCACCCGTGTGCTATGGCTAGGGCGCGCTCGGTCCCTTAACTATATTTGGCATTCACAACCACACCAAGGATGAGAATAAAATGCTAAAGACTTGCTAAAATATTAAACCCTCGATACAAGGCTTGGTGGCTCAGTTAGCTTGAAATAAGGCACTCGATCGCTCGACTAGGGCTCAACTCACGATCTCCGATAATCGGTACGAACGAACAGTCGAACTTATAAACTAACATAATGAGCACACAATACACATATACACACTACTATAAACATATAATTCGCATAATAGTTCTTAAAAATACTTAGTCGAACAACTCTAGGGTTCAAAGACTACCGATTTCACTTTAAAGTCGAACAAGTGAAATGGTTACATTTTATTCACTGATCGGGGCGTTGCAGGTGCGGCTGGTGTGCACATGGAGCCCGGTGAAAGAGTCCATGAGCCCATCATGTTTGACGACACGAATGAGAAAATTGTTGTTGCCGATGACCCCAACGGGGCAAACGGTGCTGATGGTGCTGACTTGGATTTCGGGAATGACGAGGGTGCCGGGGCCGCCGGGGTAGAGTACATGAACAGCGGTGCCAATAATGTGCATGAACTTTAAGTTGACGTGGAAGTAGAGGAACATTACAAGGAGGAGTACGTGGCTGAACCCGCCCCAGTCGATGTGGTCGACATTAAATCGGATGAGGCACCGGATGAAATGGATCTCGACACAAATGTTGCCTCCTGTGTTGACTCGGAGTAGATGTGAGTCAAGGTCTTATTATGTGTTTGCATTATATAATGGCTTAATTACTAGTAGATGGGCCTTCCAGACTTGAATTACGTTTTGGTTTTTTCTTGGTGTCTTAATGGTAGAAGTTCTCTATGAGTTATGTTGTATGGGTAAGTGGCATCATTTTGTATGTACTATATTGCCAAAGTCCGTATGCTTTGTATCTAAGTATGATTATTTTCCTCATGTCTTTTTCGGTTAAATGAAGTATACATATTTATCTTATATTTTCTACTTTGGACAAGAGTTTATTGAAACTATTCTCAACAAACCACCCATTTAAAAATACACAATTCCCAAGTTTGAGATCCCAACTTAGAGAAACTAAATAGAAATTGAATGTCATTAACTAAAAACAAAACTATCCAAAAGGTTGGGCTTGTTATGTGTAATGTTACAAAAAGTGGTATTGCCATTTCTTAGGCCGATTTAATTGGGAAAGATATCATGTCCACTAAAACCAACAAAATAAAATTCACTCTCCAATATAGAAGACAGAAAATATTTTGCATTCAATGTTAGGTAGGCATAGTTCAAATAAACGTCAATAACGAAGGTACATAAAAACATCTTCAACCATAGTTTGTCTGCGTTACACCACAATACACACAAAACACTAAAGCACATGGAAAACATATATTAGGCGCATAATCGGTTCTAAATAGTAACATGCGTGACACTTTAAACGTGAGGATCGCTAGTCGAACCCTTGCATGAAGACGGGTCTGGCTTGTGCGGTGGACGTGGGATGCGCAATGGGGCTCGACTGCCCGCCCTATTTATTAAGACATGGGCATGCGTGTTGATGGAGCTTTCACAAGAGGTGTCGTGCGGCGCACCATGTTGGGGAGGAGCGTTGTTGCAACTACAAAGCGTTTGCAAAGCATTGTGATAGGAATTGTCAGAAACCACATTTGTTCGTGCAGCAGGGAGAGCAAAAAAAGCTTTGTAGCGTTGCGGTCAAGAACAACTTCAGATCTTGGATTTGTAGAACACACCTCCTCAAACATGAAACACAAGTCCGCCTAGCGTGGGTCATCGGAATGTTGATAAGCAACGCTAAAAGCGTCGGACTAAAATAACTCAAAAAATCTTTCAGTCGTGTTTAAAAATTGGATTATGTAATATTTACATAAATTTAAAATCCGAAAGCATTAGTAGTGAATGCAAAAATCTGAGTGACCGCTACAAAAAAAATTATAAACTGAACCGGTACCTCAAAGACATCGTCCCAAACGGCAACCGGAGCAGTCAGGATATTCGATTGAATGCACTGATGCAAACCGGGCTTTCCTAGCATCCAGCTAAAAACTTGGTACTGCTTTTGAATAAAGTCGAATCTCTCATCAAATTCATCGTGGCTATAAATAAGTTCGAGCTCGCCAATGAAAACAGAGCGGCAATAATCGAAAACTGCACGCCCGGGACGACCATTATTCCACTTCCCAAGAACATGCGACTCAATTAGCAAGTCAACGAAAACATTGTCGGCCTATTTTGTCCAACGACCGTCGTGCAAGCATTCATCTTGCGTTATAGGGGTGGAAAGGCAAGGCATTGTGTTTGGATTGAACCGAGAAAGAAAAAATTAAAAGCAAGCGAGGTGAACCGAGAAAGAAACAAGTTAAGGCGAGGCATCGGCTCATGAGGATGTGTTATAGTTTTATAGTGAAAATTTGTCTAAAACTGCAACAACACACATTGGATTCCCTCTAAAGAAAAAAAGAAATAAAAAACCTCTTTTGTACGCCACTTGTATAGTCAATAAGGGGCATGATGGTTAAAAGAATCTTGCATGTGTTGCAAGTCTTTAAAAGCTGCAGAAACCAACCATCCATTGTACAACTTTGTCTTCATGCACGGACACCCCTATATGTATGTATGATTGATTGACATATAAGGAAAAGGAAAGGAAAAAGGTTCACGGGATAAGAAAGCTGATAATTTTGTTCTACTTTCTCATGATTAATGGTTTGAAGAACATATTGCAAAATTTGTTCATAAATTCGAAATGGAAAAAAAGGAAATGGCATGCAGAATCTGTTCTTAACTTGACCAAATGTAAATATGTCATATGAGACAGAACAAAAATAATTACGAACACAAAATTAACACAGAACGCGGCATGCNCGAACTAAAATACTGCACTAAACATGGCCATGCATATAAATTATATTAAAAAAATATTCAAATAAAAGAACAAAAAAATAACACATTTTAATTGTGGGGGCCACATATGTAATTGTGCTTGTTATCTTAATTTGAATCTAGGATAACAAACATAAAACACATTTTAAAACAATAATCCCAACTTGCATTGATCAAGGATAACAAACACGAGATGGTTTTTATCTCTACACCCCAATCTTGTGTCATAAGATTAAAATTATCTAATCATGTCTTAGCAAACAAACACGCTCTTACTATATATAATTAGACAACACATTCTTTTTTCATGGTTCTGAAAATCGAACCGGTCATCGAACTGGTGAAACTACTGGTTCAATGGTTCACTGGTCGGACCAGTGATCGAATCGTTTTGAATAATATAGAACTTTTTATTTATTTTATATGTATAATATATAATTATATATATTTTATTCATTAATTTTTTAATGTATGACATTTCTCTAAATAATAACTCAATAATAGATACAACCGACAATGTTTATTAATGTTTATAATTTTTTTTATTTTTTTTATTTAAAATTTTAAACTATATTTAAGTTACAAAATAGAGATAATAACAACCCTATTTTCATTCTAAATCATTTATTATTGATCAAAAAAATAAAAATAAAAATAATGTACATAACAAACAATAATAATTTGTTTATTTCTTTTTGAATAAATTGGGAATAGATATAGCCCAATAGATAGTCAAATTTAAAAAATAATATATTTTTTTTAATAAAAATAATATTGCTTGTAAGGCCCAATATTGGCCCAATAATTTTAGCAAGGGAACATATCCCACATTGGAAACACAAGTAAAAAATGTGTGCTATTTAAGCCACTTCACAATCAACAAATTTCAAATTCAAAAGTTTGAACCGGTGAACAATTCGAACCGGTTCCGGTTCACTGGTTCAACCGGTTTTTGGCCGGTTCGAATGCTGGGCGGTTAGATGTAGCAAGTCGGACCGGAATGAAGGCCGGTTCCCGGTCCAACCGGTTGGACCGGCCGGTCCGGTTCGGTTTTCAAAATCATGCTTTTTTTAGTAATTTTTAATTGTGGGTTTCATGATGTGCTTTCTAGTTTGGGAATGTCTTGACAATTACATGGATGCTATGCACGTGTTCCATTAAAATTATAATTGTCATGTATTCATTAAAACATTTACTTGTTTTAAATTTTGTACATATAAATTATATCTAATAATGGTGAAATTTGATATGAAATACTTAAGGAATATCCAAAATGAATAATACAAAAACATTCTTCATTCTTCATAACAAATATAAGCATGGCGGTATAACTTTTTTGTTCCTCTCTGAAATAAAAAATTTAATAATTATAAAAAAAAAGATTAATAATTAATAAATAATAAATTATTGAACAATCGTATGTAAGATGACTCAATTTGATCGCAGTTTCAGTTGCCTGGAGTGGGATTAAGTATCATTTGACTCAATTTGATCGCAGTTTCAGTTGCCTAGAGTGGGATTAAGTAGTGGTTTGGTAGTAAGATTAAGTAGTGTTCGATAGTTATTAAGTATTTGCATTAGTGGTCGGCAGTTAGTAAATATTGCATGTGTTAACATTGCGGTAGGATTAAGTAGTGAGTTATTTGATCGCACTTTCAGTTGCCAAGTATTGCATGTGTTAATGTTGTAGGGGGATTAAGTAGTGAGTTAATGTGGTAGTGGGGTTATTTGATCGCAGTTTCAGTTGCCAAGTATTACATGTGTTGACGTTGTAGTGGGATTAGTAGTGAGTTAATGTGGTAGTGGGATTATTTGATCGTTAGAACCAACTCAATATATCACAACATCATTGCA